CTCCGACACGCGAAACTTCCTCCTGCAGCTGCCCCTCTCCCTGCCCCCCAGTGGTCTCCAGCCAGCGCTAGGAGCCTGCCTTGACCTTCCGCTGTTTAACCCCTTTAGAGCTGGCGTGTGTCTCGAGGGTTAATGCCAGCCCCGTCTCGCTCTGGGTGCGGAGTGCCAGCTCCGCTTGAGTTGCTACCGTTGCCTTTACCTTGCAAAGCCCATCGCAAGCTGAGTTGCTTCCCGTTCGCTTTGTCCCACAGCAGGGACTGTTTACAAGGGGGGAAAAAAAAATCTCGTTGGGGCCAGACCCTCCCCAGAACCCTGGGCCAGGTGTTGGACCGTGGCACCTTGCGCGTATCTCTGGGAAGATGTCCTGCGTAGCCATGGCCAACAGGCTGTGTCCCAGCTGTTCCGGTATCTCAAAGCTGGAGTTAGTGCTGCTACCGGCTAGCTCGGCATCCCCGGAGCCGCTCGCACGGCCCGGGGCCACGTTTGTGCTCACGCTTGTGAAGCTCGCCCAAATGCAGTTGTGCCCTATTTCGGGGGGCATGTGTGGATCTGTCGTTTTGCATGTCCTGGCCAGTCTGTGAGAGAAACCAGAAATCGGGTGAGAGCGAGAACTTCCTGCTCCAGCCGGGGTGGAAGAGCCAGGGGAAATCCCAGGAGTGATGTACCGAGAGGGGAGGATTTCAGCCTTGTGCAATAACACATTGCATGTCTGCATTGCCTTTCATCGGCGTTAGAAGCAAACGTTAGTGAGTCATGCCTCAAACCAGCCCTGCCAGCTAGGGGATCGTGCTTATCCCCGTCTAACAGCTGAGCAAACCAGGTTACGCAGCAGGTAAGCGGTGGAATCCAGGATTCCTGCTGCCTAGTCCCCTGCTTTAACCACTAGTCAGTATTGCCCTCCTGGAAACAAGAAAGGAACCCAGGAGTCCTGACTTCCCATTCCCTGCTCCAACCACTAGAGCCACGCCCCTCCTAGCACTGGGAGTAGCACACTGCCTCTCCCATCCCTCCCCATCCACTAGACAACATCTTCACACAGGACAGGTCTGAAGAAAACTGCAGCCGGGAGAAGGGTCCATGGTTAGCGTTTGCACCTGGAGTGGGTCCCCAAGGACCTTCAGCCGCCGTAGCCAGAACTGAGTGTCCGGCTGTGGCTTAGCAGAGTGGGCTGCCCATGGGGCCAGCTCCTGGCAGGGCTGGAGAGCGGAGGGGAGGATCCCGCGAGCTGCTGATGGGGGCGAGGGGAGAGTTAAAGACCCATGGAGCGGCAGCAGCTTGCCTGCCTTGTTGTGGTTTTGGGCTACGTGGACGGGCTGGAGCTCTGGGGGGTGAGCCAGGGACTGAGTCATCCCTTTGAATAGCTTCACTGTTAAATAAATACCAGCACATGGAAACACTCAGTGTTCGCAGTGTGGCCGTAGGGAGGGGCTCTGTTCCAGGGGCGGCAGTGGAAAAAGAGAGAAGATGCGTGCACGGGATCTTGTGTGTGTTCCCCCGTGTGCCTGCTGTGCTACATTAGAGCGATTTGATTTCTCCCTCGGCTCAGTGCTCAGTTCTATCCCTGGGCGGGTTTATGTTCCCCTCAGCTCTGTAGATCGGTCTATCTCATACCCTTGGGAGCACCAAAACCCCAACGTAGTCCAAGGAATCTCCACTGCCGGTTAGCTGTACAGGGTCTATGCCGGGCAGACCCGGGCAGCCTCTACGTGGCTTTTCTGGCCAGTAATTTATAAGCCAGCGAGGCCAAACGTTCCAGTGTTGGCCGCCAGTTTGCTCAGGGGGTGGATTGAGAGCACTAGGCCGGGAACCATGGCACCCGTGCCCTTCTCCAGGCTCCTGCTTTCATCAAAGAATTCATTTAACCTCACAAGGCAGGGAAGTATCATTTCTGCTTTGTGGAGGGGGAAACTGAGGTACAGAGAGATGATGTGATTTGCCCAAGGTCTCCCAGGAAATCAGTAGCAGAGCCAAGAATAGAGTCTTCCCCCCCGGAGTCCTGCCTCCTCTTGCTCTAACCACTAGACATCACTCCCTTCTCAGAGCCAGAAATAGAACCCAGGAGTCCCAATCTTCTCCTCTGACCACTCCACAGCAGTACCTCTGGTTAAAGCTATAGTCCCTCTTTATCTCTCGCTCACCCCCACCCTACCTCGAACAAAGGCTCTATATAGCTCTGCTCTGGCCTATTACACCAATCCTCCATGCCCCTTTTCTGGGCTCGCGACTCATTTCTCCAGCTGTGCTCCTGGCAAGGAAGGAGAAATAAAAATCTCCCCGCCCTTGCCCGACTGTAATGCTCTACTGTGCAGCCGTCTGGGAGACGGTATAAAAAGAGAACCCAGCGCGTCACACAACGCTTTCCCCCTGGCCTCCTCGCGCTCCTTGCCTCCAAAATACACAGACACAGGATCTTCCTAATGAGAGCCACGTTAACCCCTTGCTGCTGCCTCGTCTTCCAGGGGCGTGAACCAAGCCCAGTGCTGGCTTTGCCGTTGCAACACTGCGCTACTTAGAAAAAGGCCAGTGAAACCCAAGAGCTCTGCTGGATTCTAAAAAGGATTGAACATTTATATGGACAATGAGACCATCCAGAGTGTGATGAGGATTTAAATCCTCATGCTTCAGGCATAGGCCAACTTCTAACTAATCAGGGTCAGGAAGAAACCTCCCTTGGGGGCCAGGTTACTCATGATCTACATGGTTTCTTGCTCCTCCTTCTGATGCTGCTGGTGCTAGTCACGGTTGGAGACAGGATATTGGGTTAAATGGACCCCGGTTTGATCCACTGTGGCCATCTCTATGCGAAAATAAAATTGGAGTGGAAGAAATTAATCATCAGCCCAATTCTGAGAGCCACTGGCAGCTGCGTTAGCTGAAAAGGAGAGAAAATGGGATTGTGCCCTTCTCTTTGCTTTTGCATGAAGAAGACCTAAAAGTTCTTGGTTTTTTTACACAAACAAATTCTCTCTCTGGATGACTGAAGAACTCTTAGGTTAATGCCACTCCAGCTACTATACAAGTACAACCTGATTAATTGAGAGGAAGGGTAATATTTTTAGGTGGACTGTTTTAAAATTGTATTGGTTTTGGTTAACGTAGTATTTAATTCAAAACTTAACAAACACTTGGGAGAAAAGCTCTCGTTGTTAAAATCCCGTGGACCCAATCCTTGACCTTTGGGTGCTGAGAGCGCTCCCAATCCACATCTTTGGGTTTTCCAAGGGATCTTCAGAGACATAGGTTGTAACTTGACCTGCTAAAATTGAGTTAAATGTGCTAACGCTGCACTAGGAAAAGCAATTGTGTTTAGGATGGGCTTATCGAGCCCATGTTAGGGAAACACAACCGCTTTTTGTAGCTGAGACCAAGTTTTAGAGGCAGCTGTAGTGGATCGCGAACTGATCTGCAAAATGCTTGTGATCGCTTTCACGGTGCGTGACACCACTGATCTGGCTGGGCAAAGCCTAGTTTAACTGGCTTCTTTTTCATCTGGCTCTCAGAGGGTTTCCACCGGAGATGGGACCTGAACCAAAACGCTCTGGACTCGGGGGTAAGTTCACATCCAAATCTGGATCTGAACTTTGCAGTTCAGGTTCATCTAGAGGTGTCACCATTTCCAGACCTGAATCTGACCACTAAAGAAATGGCCATATGGCAAAAAGGAGGCTTGGACTTCTGAAAAATCTGGCATCTTCCAGTTCTTTCCTCTGAACTAGTCCAACATTTGAGGAGTCCCTCAACGACATCCTAACTCAGTGTCTCTTCTCCCTCTCTAGTACCTGCTGAAAGCTAACGAGAGCCAGACGAAGCAAGGTCCGGACTTCCTGCAGAGCCTGATCAAGTTTTTCCATGCGCAACATAAGTAGGTACCGCCCCACTCGGCACATCCTGTGAGATGATGATGTCACTTCCTGGAGCAGAACTCTAGACTTGCCAGTTTTCCCTCATTTCCTTAACTCCCAGTAGCTCTGAGTGGTCGCTAGAGAGAAACGAATCCGCATGGAGTTTAAGCACATGCTTTTGCTGAATATGGGAGACATTAAGCATGTGCTTAAGGGCCACAGAAAAGGGTATTTTACTGGTACTGTGTCCAGTGACTGGTTATTTTGTTTAGTGTCACTAGTCCATTACTAAAGCAATCTCTCTCCACAGAGAGAAATTACCCTAATAGCAGTTAGTTTCATTAATGTGTAATATTTTAATATTAATTGCATTAATTCCAAACTAATTTTTGTATTGCATTAATGATACTTGGAAGAGCACTCTTCATCTGAGGATCTCCGTGTGATCCTCCATTTTACAGATAGGGAAACGGAGGCACAGTGAGTGGACATGCCCAAGGCCACACAGTAGTTCAGTGGCAGAGCTGGGAGTAGAATCCCTGGCAGCTGACCTCTAGACCCTGTCCCTGTCTCTAGTGGAGGCTGCTTCAGAATAATATAGGAGACGAGCCTGTCATATAGAACTTGCATCCAGTCCTGGATTTCAAACATCCCCAAATTTGGAGGTGTTCAGCTCTGGGGCTCTGGTTTTGGCCCAAATCTGTGCCAGATTCTGGAGTCACTCCACAACTAGGCTCGAATAACTGAGTGGAGTTTGATCCTATATGTTTTGCAGGGGGATGAAGCCCTGAATGATGACAGGTGAGAGGCTTGGCCTCAGCCCCCCATGCTGGCTGATTGTAATGAGAGGGGAGTGATCTGGTGATCCATTACAGGGAAGGGGAGGAGCTGCCCATTCTGCCCCTGGGAAGCACATTGGGCGCATAACAAGCTTAAACCCCAGCTGCTATAGGCACAACGTGAGAGTGACCATTGGCTTTGGAGGTGGGCTGTGGATTCCAAATCCCCTCTCCTTCAGGCCATCAGGCAGAGTGACCCTGGCTCGTTGGGAACCTTAGCATGACCTTGATTGATGGTGTTCTTGGTGTGCGCTGGCTCAGAGGGCCAGCATGGGAAGTCCCGAGTGCCGACAGCAGGTTTCTTGTAGCTGGTTGTGAAGGACCTGGCCATGATTGATTGAATGGTGTTGCAATGCCTTTGGATAACATTTTTTTTTCTCTCAGTTTCTTCCAAGATGGCTGGAAGGCTGCACAGAATCTTTACCCTTTCATTGAGAAACTCGCCGCATCTTTACATGCAGTAAGTGTTCAGTCAGGGATCAGGCCCTTTACTTTGTTCCCTACAGCGGACTCCAAGGGATCTATGAACTTTCAAGAGACGACACACTGGAGTCCAGCTACCTTTCCAAAAAGGTGGTGTCGGTGGCCCTATGAATCAGAGTAGTGAGCCTTACTGAAGTACTAGGAAAACTGGATGAAGTGGTAACTGGAACACACTGCTAAAAGGGGCTGTAGGGGGCTAGTGGCTGTATGTGCACAGTTCTTGCCGGAGCAACGTAGGGGGAATTTTTAATCATCCAAATGGATATAATACCATAGCATAAACCAGCATGACTTCTGTAGCAGAAAACCAGACCTCTCCAATCTACTATACATCTGCGAGCGTGTCTGTGAACGAGTGGATTCATGAGAACCAACTCTGCCACTGTCCCGCTTCGGAGATGGGATACCAGGTTAGATGGGCCCTCTTCTGATCCAACCTGGCAGTTCCTATGTTCTTGCCCTACTTTAGAGAGATGCCCCCCCACACACACACACACTCTGCTCCCCCTGTTGTGGAAGGCAGAGAGGCTCATGATGGCAGTAACATGGATGTTCATATTAATGTCTTCTGCTGCTGCTTTTCTTTGCAGCTGCACCAGGCCCAGGAGGAGGAGGTGAAAGAGCTCACTCAGATCCGTGACTCCCTCCGAGGCATCCTGCAGCTGGAGAACAAAGAGGTGAGGCTCCTGGCCTATTCCTCCATGGTGCTAAGCAACGAAGGGGCCTAGCACCCTGGGAGAATAGCCAACAGAGTCGGAGCTAGGCCTCCTGATGTGTGTCCTACCCTGGATTTTCTACAGAGAGATACAGCCCTGTTACCCATGGACTTTCCTCAGGGTAGCCAGGAACAACCAGAGTTGAGGCAGGTGGGTAGATAGAACAGGAACTGATCCAAAGCCTACTGAAATCAATGGAAGGGCTCCCTTGGCCTTCAGTGGGCCTTCCAGGCGCCAGAGACCAAGCTGAGCTTAGCGACCTACAGAGAAGTGATGGCCAGAGCTGAAATGAACAATGGGAGGTGCCGAAGGGGGACAAGAGGAGAAGGGCTGAGGGCTCAGCATTGAGAGTGTGATGTTGCCGTGTGGGAGGAGAAGAACCACGACTGGGAGCTGGTTTGCGTCGCTAGCCACCTGGGTGGTGCTACGGTGGTGGTAGGAAAGGGTCAGGAACCGGGCTGCAAGCAGCCGGAAGCTGGGTGAGGCTGGCCAGAAGGGTAAGACAAGTGTCCCCGCGGTTCCGAAGGAAAGAAGGATGGTGGGAAAGGAGAAGTTAGCGATCAAGGAGAAGGCCCCGGGAAGTCAGGATGGTGGAGTTCTAAGTGATTCTCCGAGTGGCCATAATAACGTTGGAGGGCGTTTGGAGATGCTGAGGACAACGTAAGAGGAAGGTCTGGGGTGTTCCCTGCTGGCCCAACCCTGCAGGATCCGCCCCTGGCAGGGCAAGAGGGCCGTGACACAGCAAAGAAACAGACCCTGAGGCCTATGCTTTGAATATATATATATTTATTTTTTTGTTCTGTCCTTGGTGAGTTCAGGAAAACCTGCTCAGGAAGAACTCTGGCAGCGGCTACAGCATCCACCAGCACCAAGGGAACAAGCAGTACGGGACGGAAAAGTCGGGCTTTCTGTGCAAGAAAAGCGACGGGTCTGTACGAGCTGGCTCCTGCTTGCTCCCATTTCAGATAGACTCTTCGCATGCTCGTTAAGAGCGGACGTTCTCTGGGAAGGCCGGGGGCCATAGGACGAGGCTGTTGAAGGATCAAGTGATGCAGAAATTACTGGGAGAGGTTCTTTGGTACAGGCCCCACAGGCGATCAGAGCAGATGATCCGAACGGTTCCTTCTGGCCTTAAAACTATGAATCCTCGAAAGCCCCCATCTGTGCCCAGTCCATGCGCTTGCACATAGGGGACGTCCTCACAGCAGCTGGGAGGTGGACTTCCCAGCTCAGGTCGTTGTAAATGCACTAGCTCCGCTTGAGAAGCGTGGCTGCGTTGGT